ACTGCAGCAGCTCCTCTTGGTCACACAGCACTGCTTTGCACTGCAGCCCACACTCAGGATGCTGAGCTGTCAAGGACTTTGCCAGCTGTTGGGACTCAGTTCTGAGCAGCCATCACTGAGCCCCACTCCCAGCAGTGCATCTCCCAGCTCTGACTGGCACAACCAGCTCCCATTTGGTTATCTACCCTCCCTTTTAAGTGCTATCGTGTTCCAAAAACCCTTTGGAATGCATTTCCTGATTGCCAAAAGGTGACTCAGACCAGGGTTCTGCACAGCACACTGCCCTCAGTTGGTGCTTCATCTTTCCAGCACCCCAAGCACAGCTGTCAGCCCGCAGCAGCACCTCCTGCTCACACATCCCACCACCCACAGCTCCTGACAGCAGCACAGCCCAACACATCCACCTCAAACTGAGACCTGAAAACTCCCCAGCACTGGTTTGCAAACCCATCGCAGCCATTTCTCCCTTCAGACACAGCTGCTCCACTGCAATGACCTCACACACGGGTGGCCCCAACCACCTCCAACCCCCTTCCCCAGAACAGCCCTTCTTTGTAGCTTCAGCTGTGCTACACACACAGGGGAACTCATCTAGCCAGATTCTAGCATTGTTTGCCCACAGAAGTACTACAAAGATTCTTTTTTCACATTGCAATGTTTTATTCTAGCTTAGTTGCCTTTCCTGCTCGTTCCATTTACTTATAAACATCAGCAACAACTCTGCTCAAAGCCCTTCATCATCTCCGCTCAACGCTGTCCTTCCTTCCTCCTCAGGTCCTCTCCACAGCAGTTCATTGCTGAAATCAAATGAAAACAGTCATTTTAAAGGCTGAGTTCCGTCCATTTTTCATCCTAAAGTTTCACCCCCCCCCACAGCTCCTTATTCTTAAATGAGAAACAGGGCTTCAGGAAATGCCACCACACTGAGGGTTGGGGGCTGCAATGACGGGCCGTTACCTGGTTTGCAAACTCAGGTGTGGGTTCAGCTTCCCTGGTGGCACCACTGCCCTTCCTCAGAACCCAACAGCCAGCTTCCGAGCCCAGCGTCCATCTTCTCTTCAGCCTGCCAAAGCAGAAGTGCATTAATAATGGTATCAAACAGAGAAGTTTCGTACTGCCACCCCCCTCCCCTGAACACAGGTCACATCAGATACCAGGGTTTCACAAGCCATTCGCTGAACCCATCACATCACAGAAGCACAGTGTGGGAAAACTGTTCCGGGGCTGGCTGATGCCTTTGATATGCCAGCCAATGTATCATTGGATCCCTAAGCAGAGAGTTAACCACTTTGACATGGCTGCTTAGGAAGTGTGGGCTATGGGAAAAAGTTAATGGCAACAAGTAGGATGGCAAAGAAAGCTACAATTAAAGTGAGCAACTTAATGAAGTCTAGAAAGATTCTCAATAGATGAACACATATCAAGTCAGGGAATTCGGTTTCCCATCTTGCTTCCGTTCCTACTAGCAAGACATGACTGCATGCCCAACTCTGATCTGTGGAACTGAAGTTGTGCCACAAGCCAAAGGTTGCATACGGCATGGGTTAAAATTTGTCCATCGGCTGACCAGAATTGTCAGAGGAATATTTCACAGGTACATTAGGCTTTCAAATGAGCTCTCAACAAGAGGAAGGATGCGGACATGAGCAAAAGGAGTTACCTCGAATTACAGGACTATTTCCACATATGAACTAGCCAAGAGAGCAGCTTTCGTCTCAGAGGTTTCTGTTGGAGGCACAACACTTCTTTTCTCCAAGGACACTGCAGTTTCCATATGCTAGCAAAGAATTCTTAGAACTTGTAAGGCAATGACAAAGCTAGCTAATTACGGCAATTTACCTACCATTAACACTCCAGTAACTAGTCCAGTCACCAAAGGACTAATTCTTCACTTCAGCATTATAAGGAAACAGCACTTCTCCTCACTAACACTCAGCTCAGCTGTCACCAAGCATTCCAACACCCAAAGGCACGCCGTGCTGCCAGCTTTGCCCCTACACACTGTGATGTGGAAGCAGGCCGGTGAATTCACGTGTCAAGACCGAGTTAAGATTCAATTCTAGCAACTGTTCAGTCTGCTTTGCTCTTACACTACTGCTAAGTCTTCTCCTCTCCTCTGGCATCTTCTACACACACTGTTCGTCTTCAAGGACTGTGTTGTGCAATGAAATGTCAATGGCAGGAGCAGAGTTCATTTCAGACGGTCTTTTAATAGGCTTCGTAAAGCCAAAGAAAACTGTATACAAGAATCCTTTACCACTTCAAATACAATATCAATGGAATATGCATATTTCTTCCAGTAAAAAAGGACAATATAAATAAACATTTTCAAGAACCTCTTTTATGGTAAGTTTGCAAGTCTATTTCTGGGTAATTTACATCATTACAACAGTAAAAATACCGTTATGCAGGTTGAACATACAAGCAAGTTTCTCTTTAGATATATCAAGGTGGTTTGCCTTCCAATTTGTACCCAGGCTGCATTCCTACCTTGCTACACTAAAGGAATGTTACAAAAGACGAAGGTAATGCACTTAAAAAAAAAAGAAAAAGTCCACAGCTTGTTCAGCTTCTCGTGAACGTTGCATTAAAGGTCCTTTCTATCTCAAAAGAAACTGAATTGGGGCCCCAACTTCACAACTTTAAAAAAGAAAAAACACCTCGGCTCATCATGAAGCGCAAAATAAAATCGGAAGTGCTTTCCAAAAAGATTAAAACCACTCGAAAGCAGAGCTTTCTCAAAGGAAAGTCTCATCAGACCATCTCGTATCAGAAGCTGTCAGGCTGTGTTTGACAAGATTAGAACTGATAATACTACAAAAGTGAAAATACAAGTAGATGTACTACACAATAACCATTTCAGCGAAGCTCCAAAAATCTTTATAAATACAGCCATTGGAAGGACGATCTTGAGTCAGGAAGGATTTTTACTCGTTGTGTGTAGCTGAGGACAAGAAGCAGGCACAATTGTAAAGGCACTGAAGCATAGACAAGTTCCAGCATTTTACTCCCTTGCATTATTCCAGAAGCTACTGCTCTACCGTGTCAGAGAACTCCCCCACCCTTGAATCCAGTTTGTTAGGGCTTCCGAGTTTTTTGGCTTAGTCTCAAGCTCCAAGAACGTATTTAAAAACTTGCTTTGCCTTTAGATCCAAGCAACTCCTACACATGCATTACAAATTAGAAATTTTAAACGGCACAACCACATCCAAAGCCTGACAGATTGGTTCTTACGGGCAAGAACAGAAAAGGGGCACAGTCCAAAGCTGAGCCTCAGAGCATTTCCAGACTTCAGAACAGGGTCAGAAGGTTTAAGAGCTCCTACGGCAACGTACGCATCGCTCCCATTTGAACCAGGACTTACCGTAACTGTCGTAGCTGTCTCTGTAGGACCCTCCTGAAGACCTGTCTCCATAGCCTCCTTGACTCCTGCTGTTGGAAACATGCGCTTTGTATTGGCTCAGCAGCTTCTGCAGCCTGCTGGCGCTGCTGTCTGCCAGGCAACAGACACGGCGAGCTCTGCAACAAGCTAGCTAGCAGCTGCAATAGCATTACCTGCTATTATAGTAGTCTCTGGAGCCGTTATATCCTCCACTTCTGGAGTCAAATCTGCTCCCGCCGTAGCCTCTGTCTCCACCTCCTGGAACAGACACCACGTTACGGTTTCTCCTCCAGCACCCTGACCCACACCACCCCCATCCCAAGCAGAGCAACCCTAACGCCTGCTCACCTCTGGAGAAGCCACGGCCCCGACCTCTGCCCCCACGGAAGAAGCCCCTGCCCCCGGTGGATCCCCCTCTGTAGCCTCGGGATCTGTTCTCTGACGATTTTCCAGCTTGATCAACTCTGATCTGACGGCCATCTACAGACTAACAAACAGAAAAACACATCAGCTGACACGCACTGCACAGCATGGTGCACAACTCGGCTCCCAGTGAAGCAACACCGGAATTTCAATACCGGTGCGTACTGGTTTTCTTCAATGCTGCAACTGAGCTGACGACACACAGACGGATTCTCAAGCATTACAAAGCCACTCTTGAAAAGAAGGCTACATGGTGACCTCAGTGCAGCCTTTCAGTACCCAAAGGGAGCCTGTAAACAGCAAGGGAGCCAACTCTTTGAAAGGGTAGCAGGATAAGAGGGAATGGTTTGAAATTGAAGGATGGAAGATTGAGGTTGGATGTCAGGGGGAAGTTCTTTCCTAAGAGTGGTGAGGTGCTGGAACAGCTGCCCAGAGAGGCTGTGATGCCCTGTCTGTCCCCAGAGGTGTTCAAGGCCAGGTTGGATGGGGCCCTGGGCAGCCTGGGCTGGTATGAAATGTGGAGGTTGGCAGGGCTGCCTGCAGCAGAGTGATTGGAGCTTCAAGATCCTTGAGGTCCCTTCCAACCCAAACCATTATACGATTCTGTGATTATAGCCTCAGCCTTTTTCAGAATGCAGTAAAACAACAGGATTTCACTAAGCCACTCTGTATCCTCTGTTGCTCTGTATCCTTTTCTGTTGTTTCTTTGGGAGGATTCCAGCACTTAGCTCCTTCCTCATGGCTTCAAACAGAAGCACACCTACCAAGCTCATCTCACTGCTTTTTGGTTACCCAAGGAAGCTGTGGATGCCCCATCCCTGCAGGCACTCAAGGCCAGGCTGGATGTGGCTCTGGGCAGCTGTGGTTGGCAACCCTGCACATAGCAGGGAGTTGGAACTGATGATAATCGTGGTCCTTTTCAGCCCAGGCCATTCTATCATTCTTAAGGGGGAACAAACAGCTGCTGCAGAACCGGCTTACCTTCCCATTCATGGCCATCATTGCATCCTTCGCATCGTCTATGTTTTCAAATGTCACAAAGCCGAAGCCTCTGGACCTCTGCGTTTCTCTGTCTTTCACCACAACCACTGGAGGAGAGAACAGCTGCCATCAGCCACTGCAGCCCAGCAGAGCCCAGCCCGGCACGGCCCTGCCCTCACCTTCGGAGATCTGCCCGTACTTGGAGAAGACTTGCTCCAGCGACTGCTCGTTGGTATCAAAGCTCAGCCCTCCAACGAACAGCTTGCCCTCGTCTGATGCCATCGTCACCTGCGAAATCAACCAGCCTTCGGTCAGCAGCTCTACCAAACGTTCCCCAAAGCCCGAACCGACGCTCCCGGCCCCGCTCGCTGCCGTCGAACGCGCTCCGATCCCCGCGAGCGCCGCGGTGCGATGCCGGCCCGAGTCCTCCCGCCCGACAGAGGGCGCTCCGCACCGTCCACGAAGCCGCGCCGCCTGCAGCGCGCATGCGCGCCCCCACAGGGGGGCCCCCGCCACGCCGACCCCCGCCCGGCGCGGGACCCCCGCCCCTCACCCGTCCCGCCCCCCGACGCAGGCGCAGTCCGACGCCCCTCCTCCCTCCCGCCGCCATTTTGCACGGCTAAGGCCCGTCGCCATTTTGTTTCCGAGGCGCCCCTCAGCGCTCCTCCGGCCCGGTCCTCCCAGCAGCCACCCAACCGAGTGGCTGGCCTGTACACCCCACAGCCACACAAGGCCTGGCGGTGTGCGGCCGCCCCGCGTCGGGCCGAGGCACAGACCCGACCTCCCGACATCGGGGACGTGGTGCCCACGATGCCCACACCGACTTCCCTCCCTCCCCCCTCCCCCGGCACACCGCAGCCCGCCCCGCGCGTCGGCGGGCGCTTACCGGTGTGCGGAACTGCAGAAACGACACCGCACTTCAAAGCCTCAGCGCGACGAACGCGGCGGCTGGCGGGGCGGCGGCTTATATACTCCCGCGCCGAGTCCCGCCCTCCTCATGAATATGCAGATTTGTCATCACCGAGGGGCGGGGCGAGTGACGCCACCAAAGCGCCGCCGCTGCGCCGCCATCTGATTGGGCCGCAGGCTGTTAATATTCATAAGGAGCGACGGGAGGAGGGAGCGCGAACAAAACCCCGGCGGCACCTCCTCCCACGCGTGGGTGGGGCGTGGAGCGCGGCGCCGATTGGCCGAGAGCGCCGAGCCCGTTGGCCGCGGGAGCCCCTGTGAGGAGGAAGGAAGTGGAAGCCTCTGATTGGTCGCCAGCCCCCGCGCCCCGCCCCCTGGCGGCCGGCACGCCGAATGGGCGTGGCTCCGCTGCCCCAGTTTCGCGCCCTTCGCAGCAATGCGGCGGCTGCAGACAAAGGGGCGCCTGAGGGGGCGGCCGCCATCTTGGGCAGAGAGCGCGGGCTGCGCGGACGCGGCCCGGAGCCGCCGCATTCGAGACGCCGTCCTCTCTCCCATCCCTGAGGGAGGTAACGGGGCGGCCCGGCCCTCAGCGCTATCCGAGGAAGCCAGGCCTTCACACCTCAGCCCTCAGCGGTCCGAGGTCCCGGTGCGGCCTAGCCTGGAGGCGGCCCCGGGCCTGGGCTGTGTGAGGCCTCGGCTTCTCACGGCGGTGGTTTGGGCAGAAACGATCGTGTTTACAAAACCAAATTTAAACCTCATCCCCTTTCCCACTGAAACATTTAATTAGAGTCCGCCCTGGTGTTTCTTTGCAGTACAGCTTCCCTACCGCAGCAGGAAGAGCCCTGTGCCACCGACAGCAACGCTTTGCTGGGGGTTAAAAAGGATTCCTCAGAGCTTCCCAGCACAGCTGCGACCCAGAGGAGAGGTGGCGGAAGAAGAACCCTCAAAGGGGGTTTTATGCGTCTGTGAAATGCATCCGGTGTGCTTTGAGGGAAAAGGAGAAGTTCCAACGCTTGGAAAGCATTGGAGCAACAGATAGAAATGATGACACTGAGAACAGCAGCAGCACAAAGCTTTGTGACCTGCAGTTTTTGTAAGCAGCTCGGTGGGGTCACCCCGCGGCTCTGCCCTGCTCACAGCTGTGCTCTGTGCCCTTCAGCACACCCCTGAGCTTGGCATTCTGCTCAAACACCAGCACTCTGACAGTGGTGGATACAGTGACCTTGATACGTGGAACTGTTTTGTTGTGGGTGTATTCCGGCCCCACCAGCTCTGAGAGCTGTGGGGTGCAATGGTATTTAAGGCCTGTGGCTCTGCTAGTAGAGGATTCGTCCCCAAAAAGCAGAGGACACAATGATGACAGCGTCCTTCCTTTGGCGTTATCTTCTCCTTTAACCAAGGTGAGATCACCCGTGTTGCCCCAGATCTGCTGCTCTCCAGAGTTTTCTCCTGCTCCAGATCTACTTGTTCCCCCTGACCCAGGCACGAAGCCGCCCCATTCTGAGCCGTGCAATGGAGAAGCCTCAGCTCACACTGTGAGACTGCAGCCAAAAGCAGCACTGGGAGCAGCTCTGCAAGTGGCACCCGGCAGATTTCACAGCTTGTTAAGGCAGCTAATTGTGTGATGAGATGTGTGTGTCACCAGAGCCAACCTCCCTGCAGCAGCAGCTGGCACCAGCACATCCCTGCTCAGAGCGTCCCCAAACAGTCCTTGGCACAGCAAGGACACTGTGAGGTGATGAAGCACAGGAGGACAGAGGGACCCTCGCATCTGTTGCATTCTGCAGCCTTCCTCCTGCCCATGTTGGTCTCATCCATTTTTTTTAAAGCTTCCAGTGACAGAGAATGGCACCAAACATGGTATAAATGATACGTCCCAAAGGCAGCACGTCAGCCCTCGTTGCTGATGTGGCCCTTGTGAGGGTGGCAAGGAGCCTGGGCAGACACCCAGAGCCCCACAGCACAGCTCTTAGGGGAGCTCTGCAACAGCGGGACCGCAGAGGGAACAAAAATGTGTTGAAAAATGGCTGTGTTCACTCAGCTCTGCAGAGCACCTTCCAAGCCCGGGGCCCCCTGCCCACACCGAGCTGCCCCTGCACTCTGTGTTCCCACTGAGAGCACAGGGCAGAAGGGAAACGGGAGGAAGGAGGGGATGTGAGGCAGGGTCTCCCCACCAGACCCTCTTGGGGAGCACACACAGCCCTCCCCAGCCCCCCCAGGGCCATTCCCACTCCCATCACCAGCACGGAGCAAAACACTGCGCTGGTTCTGCACGCGGAGCTCCAGCCCCAAAGCCTACAGGACAAAAATATTCCCTTCTCTCTTACTACTGTCCCTCAGGGAGTTGCTTAGCCAGTTTTGCAGTTCAGAAAAAGAAAAAAAAAAAAAAGCCCTGATGCAATCCTACCGTTGCCATGGCAAGGAGCATTGCTGCTGCATTTCCCTCTGTGATTTACTGTGACCGGGACTCACCGTGTGAGAGCACAGCAGAGAAAGGGATCGGGGCTCCAGCACAAACCCTGCGTTGGCACACGGTGCTGTGGGGGTCTCTGCTGCGGTGCTGGGGGACCCAGAGTGCCGTGAGATGGGCACCCGCTGCTCCAGGCTCTGCTCTTCCCCTCCACCTCGTGCATTCACCCAGCAGCCCTGCAGCAAACAACCCACCCGATGCGGGGCCTCAATTTGTGGACCCACGGCCCCGAAGGATCTGCCCCAAACAGCCCAGCACTGCGGCAGGGATGGGAGCAGGACATCGAGTGGGAAAACGGAGCTGCGGTGGGGATGGCAAAGGGAAGAGCTGAGAATGCAGCACGTGGAGCAGAGACCCGGCCCTGGGATGCTGGATGCCCCCACAGCTGGGATGAGGTCGGGACGACGGTAACCACGGCAACGATGTAAATGGTGCGGCTGTGAGACGCTGCTTTCTCAGAAGCGACCTGCGCCCCTCAGACAGATGACGGAAAGCTCAGCCCTTTGTTGTCACAGCAGCAACTCCTCCCGAACAGAGCAAATTTAGGAACAACCCAACGCGAGTGCTGCAGCGCGCACAAAAACCCGTGGGACCTCCCCGATGGAGCCGATGGCCCCGAGCTGCAATGCGAGCTCCCCGCAGCCCCGTCCCATCCCTGCGGAGCTCCCGGGACACCCGCTGGGCTCCAAGCAGCACGCGGGGCCGCCTGGCTGCGCCGAGGGCTCCTCTCGTAAACCCTCATCAATCATGGGGCTGAGGGAGCATTTGCAGCGAGATGCGGCCCGAGGACAGGCTGCCAGCAGCGCCCTTCAAAACGGCTCCGGGACGCTTCCCTCCGTGCCACCATTGGCCCCGCGTGGATCGGGGCAGCAGTGCCGCTCACTGCGATGCTCCCCCCCGCACAAAACCCTGCCCAGAACGCCGCCTCGTTCAGCTGCCGGATGCCCGTACGTTCACCCCGTGCTCCCATTCTGCAGCCCTCCCCGAGAGCCCCCAGTGCAAAACACGAACCCACCCCAAAGCTCAGCGGCCCCGCGGATCCCACATGAGCTCATCCAGCACCGATCCCCTCGCAGCCCCCTCTCTGCAGCCGGGCTGGAACCCAAGCTGTAACCCAAACCCTCCCCGAGCAGCGCAGCTCGGATTCCTGTCTGTCTGGGTCACTTTCTCCCCGCAGCGCCCAGGCATGCGGCTGGATCTTTTTTTTTTTTCCCCCTTTAGGCAAGGAAACGGGTCGGGACGGTTCCCCCCCATTCCGGTGCAGAAGGGCAGGGAGCGGCACGGTGCGGGCAGCACCGAGCCTGGATGCGGAGCCGCAGCTCTGCGGGAAAGGGCCGGACCGCGGCACTGCACGCACCGCTACCGGCAGCGGAGCCTCCCCGGGGTGCGGGATGGGAACCCCGCAGCTCCGCTCTGCCTCGGCCCTTTGTCTTTGCAGCTGCCGGCCCGTCCCGCACCGCGCCACTGCACGGCGATCCGGATGAGGAGGGCAGTGCGGGGGGGTTCCTGGCCCCGGCGCCCCTCGCCCCGCTGCGCCGTTACCTTGGTGCTAAAGCCGGCGCTTTGTGAGGCCGTCCGCCCGCAGCTGGCGCTTGGCAGGAGGGGAGGCTGCTTCAAAGGACCAATTCACGGGGCCTCCCCGCTCTGCCTTCCCCCGCGGCCAAGGTGGGGGTTTTCTCACGCAGCCGGATAATGGGGCTGGGGCCCTGCGACGGGGCCAGGTGTGAACCCGCGGGGACGCTCGGCTCCGGGCTGAGCTCCCCCGGGGGACAGCAGAGAGCTGAGCACCCACCCACCCGGCGGACCTCACAACCCGACCCCCCCGGACCACCTCCCGCACACTGCCTACGGTTCATCCATCCCCCCCCGGAAGGGGAGCAGCCCCCAGCAGCGAGCCGAAGGGAAACAAGAGGATGCACCCCCGCGGTTCAGCTCCTCGTGGGCACAAAGCTCCCTGCTGCATGCTGGAAATCATTCACCCTCCCCCCGAGCCCCCGAAGCGCTCCAAAGCCGCGGGCGGCCGCTAACAGAGCAGCCCTGTGCTGCCCCAGCACGCCGGCAGCGCGACGCGAACCGCTTCGCGATGCCGCGGGCTGAGGGAAGAAGGGAGGGGGCGGACAGAGGGGCCCCCACCCATCTGGGAGCAGAAGGGACCCTCGGGAAGCCCCCAGGCCGAGAGCCGCGACCGCAGCCCTGCTTTTAAAGCCGCACAAACGAGCAGCAGCGATGCCGCTAAATCCCCTCCCAGCTGCCGGGCGATCCCAGCGCAGCTGGGGGGGGGGGGGGGCCTCCGTGCCTGTAAGCATTCCTGTAGCCCGCTCCCCCCCGCGGCCCCCCGGCACCGTGCGGCTGCCCCTACATGGCTGCCTGCGGGGCCTTGGGGGGGGGGGAGCTGCTCCGCACCCCATCGGCAGCGGACGGGAAGCGGCGGGGGGCTGCTATTGTTCAGCATGGGCGGTTCTGTAGACAAAAGGGAAGGGGGGGCCGAGAGCCTGCGGGGAGGGGGGCAGGCAGCGGGTGGGGGGCACCCGCGGGGCGCCTCTGCTGAATGCAGCCCGCTGGGATGGGGAGGACGCAAACCAGAGCCGCCCCTTCCCCTCTCGAGCCCCCAG